ACATCGGTATCGGCTGCAAATTTTAATATCGTGCATCACTAAATTATGCACATCAGTAACTGACCAGGTGCAATGATTACATACTGAGTCCCAGTTCCCAGGTGGAACAAATTGTGACTGAAGAGTGGGACGTCCTGCCTATTGACACCATCAACCAGCTTGTGGACAGTATGCCACGATTTCTTAACGCATTAATCTGTGTCAGGGTAATATTGGACATTGTTATGCATGAAATCCCCCTCGAATACGTGTTTCCTGTTATATGACCAAGGTTGAAAATTTTAAATAAAACACTTAATCCTATTGTTCAATACCCCCAATTTGATTTAAACCTGAGTACACAGTTTGCAAAAGTTAACTGTGGTTAAATTTTTCCTGTGATTGTATGTTGTGATGTCAATAAAGTTTTGAAAAGACATACATTTTATCTTAATCTCATTGTCACAATCATTTCATGAGAAGAGGTAAAAAAATAAATAAATATTCCAACTTTATGGGCAACAGTGTGTATGACTTTTTGGGAACTTACAGTATTTAGAAGGACATTCAGGCTCTGTCGCTATAACTGTATATAAAACTCTTCAAACTAGATCCTCTGTATGAGACCACAGTGCTGGGAGGGTTACTTTTCAAATGTATTTCACTATAGATTAAAGGATACAGACCCTTAAATGGACTTTGTAACATGTTTGTTCTCTGGATTATCTTTCTGTCTTACTTTAATATTGAGTGTAACTCTGTGAATGAATGTGACATTCACACAATACTGCAAGATTTTAGTTTGAACACTGGAGGGGACGCGATAAAAAGGGATCAGGGTGTAAAGAAAACTGAGTGTCAGATATATTTTTATGCACCAATTTGTGCTGTTTCTGCATCAGTTTATGGTCAAAATTGTGTTTATTTTAATGCAAAAACAGAAACTTCTAACACCAAGTGACAATTTAGGATATGAATGAAGTCGTGCACATGTTTCACTCATACATTTATTCTCCTGTGTTTATCTAATTGAGTATTATCCCTGCAGACCAGCACATATTTAGGCATCAGTTACTCCTCTGTGCTCTTTTGTGTCTTTTGTTTGGGAAAGTAACCTCTTTAAATATGAATGTGGGCCCTTATCACGTGATATTCATGATCAGTTAATTCATTTTAATTAGTTTACAGATTGCTGAACTTACTGATGTTGGATATGCAGAAGGGAAACGACAATATACAATAAACATTAAATTGGTTTTTGAAGTCCTTTGCTTCTTTTGCAATTTAATTGCAGGGATAAATGCAAATGTTTTAAATATTGCCATCCTTAAAATCTATGCTGCCGCCTATAAAGTGGACTCAAACACAGGAGTCACTCTCATGTTGAAAAGGTTAAAAAAAATCTAAATTTTCCTTAAACTACAGCATCAAATTACAGTGAAAAGCAGAATTAAACTAAATTGTGGATCTACAGTTCCACAGTTGCTTTCATTTTGCTGCTTCTTTAAAGGTTAAACAAATAAATGAAGATCTCAAAGTCAACTATTTAGACTTAAAGTAATCCCTTTATGTTATTTGTTGATTTTCAAGTATTCTGATTATCACTAATTCAAACTTTAACTGTAATCTAATGCAGTTAATCACATTTTATATTCTAAATATTCTGCTACCCTATCAGAAGACCTGAAGCCACCCTGACATTTGTGGGCTTACAAGCTGAATAAAGACGTAAACTGTTGTGTTTTTGTTGTACCTGGGTAGTTCCTGCAGCCTCCGGCGGAACAGCCTCGCACCCAGCGGCCCTCGTTCACAGAAACCGTCCACTTGTGGATCTTGTCGTCCTCCAGGGCGTCGGGGGTCAGGTTACAGATCTCGATCTTGGTGTAATTCTTCTTGAAGTCCTCGAACGACATCCTGAGCAGAAGAGAACACAGACGTGTCTCGTAGATTTAACATGAAATCCTGCAGATTCAATCTACATGGACCAGCAAAGACGTGCCGCTCACCAGAACTCTCCGTCCTCGGCGCTCTGGTGCTGCAGCTTCTCTTTTTCAGACTTGGAGAGCGTGGCCCACTCCTTTGAGCTGTTGGAGAGAAGACGACAAACAGTGAAATTGCCTAAAGTTACATTAGATTTAACTAAACTATCAAACTTATTGGAAAATCTGACATCTTTATACCTTGAAATGGTCAAAAAAAAGTCCTTACTTGTCACTCCAGGGGCCGTTCCATTCAACTTGACCCCAAGGATTCCTGAGACGCACCAGACGGACTTTAGACTCCTTGTGCTGTGACGCTTTACACTGCAGAAGTTAGAAACACACAGTAAAACAGGTTTAAAATCACATATTATGTTAATATATATACAGTGGAAAGTGTCATCTACATGTGTGTGTTTCTGTATACATTTATCCACTTTCTTGTATATCCAAAGCTGCTCAAAAGTTGTTCATGGTGTAGTTATTCATATACAGGACAGTTTAATTTCCTCATTTCACTGCGTATTTTTTCGTATGCTTGTGCATTTGACACTTTGTGGTGCATTTTTCACTTCAGTACAGTTTTAATCATGGCATATTTTACACTTTATTAGGCATTTTGTACGTTTTTTTTGTCTATATATATATATATTTTTTTTTTTTTAAATTTCATTTCTATATACTTCAATTCTATAAACAATTATTCATGATTATTGTCGGCCATTAAGTTTTTCCCGAATTTGAACCATGACACATTTATGCAGAATTCATCCAAAGGTAGCTGCCCTCCTAATACTGGCCTTGTAACTGTTTCTGTGCAGCTCTGCAGGGTCACACAGTCAAACTGCACAACACATGTCATAGTTTATTTCTTGTTCATCAGTGTGCTTTACCTCCTCCACGGCCGTCACAGAGTAGGCGTGACCCTTCACGAGTCCCGTCACCGTACGAGTCTCGAAGCGAGCAGGAACCAGGGACTGCAGACAGATAACAGGAGACACCATTAGCAAATCCAACTGATATGCACACAATACTACGAGTCTAAAGCTGAGCAACATTTCTAAATGAGCAACTTGTCCGTGTAGATTCTTATTCATCCAGGTTATAGTGATCATAAGAGCTACACTACACTTTTTTTTTTAGGTTTTGAACCGACAAAAGAGAAATCCAGTTGCCTTTATTGAAGCTTCTACTGTGTGAAAAGCTAAAAAAATGTGTAATTAGAGGTTCAACAGACTTAATGCTATCAACAGTTGGAGTAGCTCAGTGAGGTTTTGCTTTTAAGTTTACCAGAAACCTGATTCAATGCAAATACTTATATTTACCTAATATTACTGTGTTTTCATGTCACCTGTTGTGCTTTAGTTTAATCTAAACTCAGCCTTTATCTATCTATCTATCTATCTATCTATCTATCTATCTATCTATCTATCTATCTATC